AAAGAAAGAAAGAAACTAAGAATTCAAGGCAAGAGTGAGGATAGGCTGCATTCCAGACATGGGAGACTGTCTGTGCAAAGGTATGGGAGATAGAATGTCACATGTGAAGAACAGCAAGAAAACTAGTTTGCCTGGAGACAGGGCACAAGAAAGGAAATCATATGTAATAATCTAGGAAAGATTGACAGGAACCTTGTTATTATGAAGGGCATTCAATGTAAACAAAGGACTTTGTAGAGACCACAGGGAGCTACTTTATCATCCTCTTCCAGAGACACTCCGGCTCATCTATGTCCATTCTAAGATAAGGTACCTGGAACTAAAGGCAGAATTTGTCATCTGGCCAAGGCAGAATCCAGTGGTGCTACCACTTCCTGAATTCTGGAAACCATCACTCTCAAGCCTCAGATGATAAGGAAAAAAGAGATGGTGGGGAGAATGGAGCAGGAAATCAGTAGTATTGATTCCTACTGAATTTACAACCAAATGAAACTCTAAGAACTTTTTTTAAATTTAATTTTTTTCCATTTTTAAAAATTAAAAAGCATTTGGTTTCTCTACCTCCCTCCCTCTCCCCTGACCCATTGAGGAAAAAGAAAAAGAAAACCATTCTGGAAAGCAATTTGGAACTGTGGCCCCCAGATCTTTTTCACAGAAAATGTTGTCTAGCCACACTTTCACCATCCCTAGCTCCCTTTCAGTTTCACAAAGCCTTCCCCAAGTCCCCTGGATTTTAGTGCCCTCTCTCTCACAGTATTATTTTGTGTTTATTTATGTTTATCTTGGTATATGTTGTTTTCTTTCAGTAGAATGTAAGTTCCCTGGGGGTAGGGGCTATTTAGTTATTGTCTCTGTATCCCTAACACAGTGTCCACCATATAGCAAACATTTAATAAATGCTTATTTACCTGAATTGAATTATTAAGTTGATTTTTTTGAACCTAAGTCTAGACTTTTATAATTATTCTTATTACATTTTATCATCCCAGGCTATCAGGATCTTTTAGGGTTCTGACTCTCAGATTGAGCATCCAATTGTCTATCTCCTTCCAAATTCCAGATTCCTATCATTTGCAAATTTGAGGAGCATGCAGTTTATGTCCTCATCTAACATTCTCATCAGTGACTTGAACAGCACAAAAGCATAGGGCGATACATGGGACGCCTTCCTGGAAACCCAGCTCCAAGTTGGCATTAGCCCTTCTAAAGGTTAGTTTGGGGTCTTGTCACCCAACTAGTTCCAGTGCATCTGAGTGTACTACTGTCCTCTCCATCTTGTCCACAAAGAGTGAGTGAAACTTTTTTTTTTCCCAAATGCTTTGTAAAATCTTAAATATGCCGTGTCTACAACAATTGTTTGATCTGGGTCCATTTCCTTTGATGTTTCTAAGACCTTAAAGATGGGAGTATTTCCAAGAATAATGCAGATTGCAACCAACTCATGCCACCCAATTCTGAGGCTTTTGTTCATGCAGTCCCATAAATGCTATACAGGGGTGTCCTCAAGAGGGTTATATGAGAGGCAGCTAGGTAGCACCATGTGCTAGAATTGAAGTCACAGTTTCAAATCCTGCTTTAGACACATTAGCTATGTAACTTTGGGCAAGACACTTAACTTCTATCTGCCTCAACTGTAAAATGGGGATAATAATAGTGCTTTCCTCCAAAGGTTGTTGTGAAGCTCAAATGAGATGCTATTTATAAGCACTTAACCCCAGGCCTGGCACACTTTGTTGTTCTTGCGTTGTTTCAGCCTTTTCCAACTCTTGATGACCTCATTTGGCATTTTCTTGGCAAAGATACTGGAGTGATTTTTCCATTTCTTTCTCTAGCTCATTTTGCAGATGAGGAAACTGAGGCAAACAGTTAAATTACTCTCCCTGGTCTCAGAGCAAGTAAATGTCTGAGGCCAGATTTGAACTCAGGAAGATGAGTCTTGGGGCAGCTAGGTGGCGCAGTGGATACAGCACCGGCCCTGGAGTCAGGAGGACCTGAGTTCAAATCCTGCCTCAAACACTTGATACTTACTAGCTGTGTGACCCTGGGCAAGTCACTTAACCCCAAATGCCTCGCCCCCCCCCAAAAAAATACTTGTTCCCTTTCTATATTCTACTGGTGGATATATCAGAATGAACTTGACTTCAAATCCTGCCCATTTGCCTGTGTGATGTTGGGTGAGGCCTTTACTCTCCCTGTGTCTTGGTTTTCTTACTTAATGAAGGAGTTGGGCTAAATCTAAGATCCCCTCTTGCTTGAGATCTAAGATCTATTTACTGTGTGCCAGATAAAATTAAGGCCACAAAGACAAAAATGGAACTGTCCAAGACCTCAGGGACTTCCTTTTTACTGAGAGCCTACAGTTATAAAAGGAAGTAAAAGCAAAGTACTCCAAATACAAAGTACTTCAAAGACATTTCAAGAGAGAAAGAGTTCCCAGAACAATGGGGATCAGGAAACGCCACGTGTAAGAGACAGTGCCTGCACTATGCTTCAAAGCAAACTCAGGATTCTCAAGGTGGAAGTGAGCAGGGAGCACATTCCAGACAAGTTACTCTCTTTTCCAAAAGCATAAAGATGTGCTCTGCAATGCTGTGTTCAAGGAACAGTTAATAAGCCAGTTTGACTGGAAGAGAGATCACTGAAAGGAGAGTATATATCTATATCTGTATACATGTATCTGTGTATACGTATCTATATACATATATGTGTATACACACATACCTATCTATATCTATCCATCCCTCCATCTATCTATCCATCCATCCATCTATCCATCCACTCTTTCTAACCATCCATCTATCCATCCATCTATCCATCCACCCATCTCTCTATCCACCCTTCCATCTATCTATATATATCTATATCTATATATAGATATACTGAAAAGGTAGGTGGAGATTATATTGTGGAGAGTTATAATGCTAAGCTGTGTGGTTTTTGTTTGTGGTTTTTATCCTAGAACCACTGAAGCTTGTTGAACAGGGAAATGACACGGTCAGACCCGTGCTTTAAGACTATCAATTTGGCTGCTGTATGAAGAATGGATTGAGATTGAAGAGAAAGAAGCCAAATAAGAGGCTCTTACAGGAGACCAAGGGAGAGGCACTGAAAGCCTAAATTAGGGTAGGGGCTATGTGTGAAAAGAAGGGGATCGTATTCAAGAAGTGTGAACAAGACTTGGCAACTTAGGAAATATGGGGGTTGAGGGACAAAGGAAAAAGAAACGACTACAAAGCTGAAAATCTGGGTAATAAGAAGAACAGAGATGTCTGGAACAGAAATAGGGGATTTGGTGGAAGGATGGCTTTTAGAGGGGAATGATTTCAGTTCCAGATATGTTGACTCTAAGGGGTCTGTGGATGTTCAGGTGGAACTGTCCAACAGGCAGGGGGAGAATATAGGACTAGTGTTCAGGAGAGAGATTAGAGCTGGATTATAGATTTGGGAGTCACCTGAATAATAATAATAACTGAATAGTAACGATTGATAATAACTGAACTCAAGCAAGGGGATGGGATCACCAAGGGAGAAAGGAGAGAGACAGAAGAGAAGGGGACCGGTGGCAGAGAACCGGAGGATTTCCATACTTGGATGGCAGTGAGCCGGAGTGGGGGAGGATCCAGCAGACGAGAATGTGAAGGAGTGCCAGAGGCGATGGGGCACAGGTGACAGAGTCCCGGCTCTGCAGTAAGAACGAGCCTGACTTCAAATCCTTCCCATTTGTCTGTGTGATGTTGGGTGAGGCTTTTACTCTGCCTGGGTCTTGGTTTTCTCACTGAATGAAGGAGTTGGGCTAAATCTGAGATCCCTTCCTGCTCAGGATCTAGGACCCCACGATAAGTAATAGGACGGGAAGCGGAATACAGATAAGCAAATAACAGTTGATTGAGGAGGGAAGGAACTCTAATAGGTGAGAATAGGGAAAAAGCTTCCAGGAGGATGTGACACCTGGGATGAGGTAGCCTGCAACCAACCGACCTCGCATCAGGAATAGATGATCCCAGAGATCTTAGGATGAGACATGTTACCCATCTCCTGGCAGAAGCAGATGTGATGGGTACATTTTTGGACATGGACGATAACGTGGAAATTTGTTTTACTCAAATATGGATATTTGTTGCAAGAGTTCTTTTTCCCTTTTCATTGAGGGGAAGAGAGAAAATGTTTATTGAAAAATAAAACATTTTAATAGAGGGAAATATGTAGGGGAAGGGGCTCATCCACGCCACTGACCCCCACCCCCAATGCATCCACCTTCTTCTCAGGCAACCAAGCACCATCCACAGCGCCAATGCCCAAGCGCCTCTGGGCCCAGTTCAGAAAAGGAGAACTTGAAAGCCGCTCCGCTCGCAAATCAAATCCTCTCCTCGTTTTCTCGAGGGTAGAGCATCCTAGCCAGGTCTCCTCCTATCACTGACCCCAGTCCTCACCTGTCCTTCATCCGCCTCCCTAAGAGTGACAGCTGCCCCGCCCTATCACAGCACCTCCGCCTATCACCGTCTAAGCCCCGTGCGGCCGCAGGATACCTGACTCGTGCCTATCAGGACCACGCCTCCCTCGCGGACCCCACCGCCCACGCCCCGCCCACCGGCTTAACAGGATTGGCCGAGAGGCGCTTCTCGCCCTGCCCCTCCCCGCGGGTTATGTAATAGGGTATGGGGGGCCTCGGGCCCAGTTATGTAACCAGAGCCTCCCCCCGCAGGTTCCTCCTCCCGGCCAATGGTGGCGCCCGGGGCTGGACGCGGCGTCCAATGGGGCGCGGTGGGGGCGGGGCGCGGTCACGTTGCAGGAGGGCGTTCGAGTGGTGGGGGGGGCGGCCCCTCGGCACGCGGCTGGCCCCGAGACCTGCGCGCGGGGCCGGCGCTAAGAGTGCCGGGCCGAGGGAGGGCGGAGGCGCGCGGGGGCCAGGCGGCGGCGGCGGCCGGGCGGGTAAGTGAGCGAGCGTCTCGGCGCGAGGGCTGGGGTCGGGACAAGCCGGGGTCGCGGCTCGGTCACGCCCCCCCGAAGCGCTTCGCTCCCCCCCTCAAAGCGCTTCGGGCGGGGAGCGGGGCAGGGAACCCCCTGGAGGCGGGGGGGGGCGGGTTACATAACCACCCCAGGAGCCCCGCGGGAAACAAGTTGCCCTTGAACTTGGGGTGGAGGGGAAGCGGGCTGTCCTGCTCACAGGCGAGGAGCCCCCCTGGGGAGAGGGCGGGGCGGGCCCTTTTCGTCGGCCCAGGCAACTTTTGCATCCAGCCTTCCCAGGTGGGGCTGCGTCCGTCACCTGGCCGGCGTCTTCCTGCCACTTTGTTCTCAAAAAACAACCAGCCCTCTTCAACTTGCGGACGATCATCTAGAGATCTGACGATCGCCGTCTGCAGCAGCCAGCATTTATTAAGCGCCTTTTGTGCGCTGAAGCGGGAGCCAGGCATTGAGCCTTCATTAAGTGCCTGCTGTGTGCCAGGTTCTGTGCTAAGCGCCAGGGATACAAAGAAAGGCAGCAGTCCCTACCC